AGGGTGGACTACTCCAAGGTAAGAGTATAAACTGCATCTTGTAGATGAGTCAGGCAAGACGCTGTGGTCCTGACCCAGCGCAGCCACTGATTGCTTAGCTGAAATGGTTCATCTACACCGAAGTCAATGCAGCAAGTAACAGGATCCCTTGTTCTTTTGTTTTCCTGAGCTCCTAACCTGCCTCTGGGACCCACCTTGGCTGAGCCTCAAAGCAAGACTCCGTTCCCATCTCCTGTTTCCCTTCCAGTGCTAGCCCTCTTCTCCCTCTTCCAGGCATACTGGGCTTTGCACCTACGGTGTGCAGCTGTTCTTCCTCGAAGCAGGACCTGGGGCACTCTGATAAATCCAGCTGCAAGTAGAAGCTGCTCAAGCAAGAGGTGAGCATATCACAGATGAGTGGAGGAGAGGGAAGACAGTGAGCAGTCCAGGTCCAGGCACAGGTATGTCACACAAGGCTTATCCCAACCCTTCCTTCTCCTTAAGCCTAACTATCTTCAGCTCCCTACAAATGGAAGGTCTTCAGGGGGAACTTCACTCACAGTTGCAGGGCTCTCTGGTTCAATTTTACACCACATAAAGCTGAGTTAATTGGACAGATGATTAAGCTGATATCTCATGGCTATAATCTAGGTATTGTGCTGTGTTTACTACTACAGGCTAATGACTGGACATCGGAGAGAAACTGTGTAGTCTTGCATATTCTCTGTTTGCTTTACATCTTGTTAATTGTAGAAATACATCTCTATATAGAAACTACAAAGTGCAAATCAGGATTTTAAAGGCGTGAATGTTAGACAAGTTAGAAAAAATAACCTTAGTGTTTTAGATTAAGAACACTTCAAGGGATAATTCCTTGGCCATAATTGCAGGCAAAGTGACAGACCTGGGCATCCAGTTTTTAAAATGTTTGTTATTTAAGATACTTAGATAGCCTTGATTCCTCAAACATCTTTAAAGTCTTTTTCAGATCTTCAAAGTATTTGGACTTGCCTTGTTTGGTAGAGCATTGCAGTTGGTTTGGCAAGGAGAGGAGAGCTATTATGAGATGGCAACTGCATTCACCTGTGATTTCATTGCTGCAAGTCCTAGTAGTGTGCTTGGGTCCAGGAGTGGCCTCTGTACCCCACAGGGTGGCTACCCGTGTCTCCCTTACAGAGCTGAGGCATGTTGCTTTCCACATCACGCTATAGGCCAAGGTAAATGGATTTTTAAAGAACTATTTCTCTGCAGGGCTTAGGTGCTTGTTTTAATTTAGGATTCATAATCATGAACTCTCTTCTGGAATGAAGTGCTTCAAGCCATTCATTCAAATAGAGATAAGGGCTCTTTTCCTATAAAACAGGGCCAGCACAGAGTGCAAAGGCAGACTGTTATGTATTCATTTGCAAGGACCAGGAGCACTTGCCTAATTTAGGGGAGGTCCCAGCTGGATTACTTCTTATTTACAGAATTCAAACATACCTCTCCTTTCCTTGGCCACCAAAAGGAAAGCTATGCCCAGAGGTTTGAACCTGCGTCTGTGATTTTCAGGTTAGTTCTCTGCTACTGGACTAACAAAACACAAGAAAAAAAGGTACTCAATTGGACCACAGATCAATTTAGCCCACTATCTTACTTCAATGCATATGTAATTCTTCCCCCTTATATTCTCCAGTCTCTAAACATTTTCTGCTCAGAAACTTCATGGTCTCAATATGATCTCTATGTATTTAGCAGTCCTTACTGGACTTCTCTTCCATGAGCTTGTCTAGTCTCCATTTGAACCCATGTAGACTTTTAGATGACATCATCACCTTCTTTTAGACCTCATCAACTTTCAATAATTTACTCTGTTCCACTACTTACTGCATGAAAAAATAATCTATTTTTTGCTTATTTTGAGCTCCTGATAGATTAATCTTTTGCTCACCTATATCTTGTTCTAAGACAGCTAACAATTGTTTTCTACTCACCCTCTCCTTGCACTCATAATTGTATAGACCTCTATCATTTAATTCCTCATTTGTCTCTTCCAGACCAAGTAGAGCTGGATTACTTGGCTATTCTTTGACCATGAGGCCATTCCATAAGGAAGCCACTCCATGCCTTACCATACTTCCCCTCTAATATCCTCTTCTAAAATATGTTTTAAGAGTGCTGTTTTTAGTAAGGCAGGTGATTAAAGGATATTATATCTTCTAATCCTGCTCGGAGATAGATTTATTTCAAAACCACATTAAAAATATATTTCCTTTCCTACAGAAAACAGATTTTAGGCATAGCTGTAGGGGGCATCAGGGGCAGTGCTAGAAGCTTATGTATAAGGAGACAAGCATTCTGTCTGTGTAATTGATTATGATGACAGCTCACCTGACCTCTGTTATTCAGGTTGAAGTGTAATATTCAGGGAATAGAGCATTCAGTGGTTCATAAGTTTTATGAATTTCTGACAGGATATTGGCCTAAAATATTTTTTTAGTAACAGTGCTATAAATCAAAAAACAAACTCTGTCCTTAAAAATTTAACTCTGTTGCTCAGCTGCTGTGTGATGAAAGCACATAAGCACCAGAGCAGACGAACAGATTTATGAATTTTTAGGACTGATGAATTTGAAGACTGGCAACTTCCACTAAATTAGCATACTACCTTTGTCCTCTGTGCATTTAATTGCTGTAGGTGAAATGTCTAGTTCCTTCTAAATTAATGGGAAGATCTCTGTTGCTTTCAATGAAGCTAGCTTACCTAGCAAGGCAACCCTGAAACAAGGCTCACTCTTCAGCTGAAAGGCTACCAGGTCAGTGCTAAAGATGTAGTTTTCACTGAGGAACTCTCATTTACTCTGCTGCTCTGTTCTGATTGTCTCTTCTGTGCTCTAAAGTTCTGCTTTAAGAACTGAAATGCAAGAATAGTTTGTGTTTCTCACTACGTTAGTTGTGTTCTAATACAATTGTTTAAAAGATTCACGTTTTCAAAACTTTGAGGAACATTCGCTTTAACAAAAAAGAAAAAAAGAGAAGAGAAATTCACCACCTTTTATCACTCTGCTTTTTAGTTAAGACTTATTAAAAAATACCTCAAATGTTTCCTTTTCAAGAAAAAGAAAGGAAGGGTGAGAATTGCAACAGAAACAGATCTCCAGATCAACTTATGAGAGAACGAGCAAAAAAAGCGCACCTTTCTGATGTGACACGGATTCTTTCATCATTGGAGGAATTGAATCTGTCATCCTTTTCTCTGAAATATTCTTCTATGCACTGCTCTTCGAAATCATGGACTTTTTTCAGTTCATCCTCAGTTATGAAAAGTTCTGTGGAAACAATGGAGAATTGTGAATTTTGCAAAGATTAACAAATGAAATCAACAACATTCTTCTTATTGTGCAATTCACAGACTAAACTTTCAAAAGCAGGCTTCAAATTTATCTGACATTTTGGTATGAAAGCACATAGATGCAGCTAATTACCAAATTAGTGACTTCAATTATATATGATTCTGGAGACAGGAACACTTAAGCAGGCAAATGCCCAGCAAGCATGAATGTGTTTTGATTGCATAAGATCTAAACACAGCTGCTGGTCAGGTCCTGGAGAGATGATGGGAACCAAAGCCCACCTGTAACCTAATACAAATATAATCAAATTAGCAGACTGCTAGGAAAGTAGTCTGAGGGTAGAGAGGGTCTATTTGGCATGGCAAGAGCAGATGTCTGCAGGCAGCAGCAAGGGCTGTGGCAGACCGTGTGATGTGAGCGGGAGGAGAGCAGTCTGCTTGCACTTGCATCTCCAAGGCCAGCACATGGCTCCAGCTCCCTCCTTACAGAGAAGGGGGCTGTGGCATGGGCTAGTGTTGGGAAGAGAAGTACATCCCTTAGCTCTCTGCCTCTGGCATACGCAATGAGGGAGTTGGAGATCTTCTACTCTGAAGAACTAGATAGAGAAGAGGAAAGCGTTATCAAAATAACCTGACAGGTTTTCCATCATGCTGATGGGAGTTCATATTAAAGTGTCTGGAGAAACCACTCCTCCAGTCTGAATCCGTGTCAAGGAGATAACATGTGTCTACAAAATAATTACTTCTCACCATCTCTCAGCTTATCTAGGGAAAAAAAATGTTGGGGGGAAGTATGTGCTGTTTGTTCAAAAAATAGGAATGCTGTCTCTGTATGTTCAGAAGTAGAACTGAGATCTGGAAGTGTGATGGACTGTAAGAAGAATTCCAGCAATAGCAGGCCTCTAGCAACAGCAAAACAAACCCCATTGCTTTGAAGGAACAAAGCGGGGAACAACCACCAAAAGAAAACCCAGAAAAAAACAGTATCATTAACACTCTGAGGAGAACTAAGGAGTTGGGCAATGCAGGTAAAACTAACTGATTCAGGTAAAAATTTTGCAGTTAAAAGTAGTTATCTGCTGGAAAGATTATCAAGGCACTGGATTTAGACGTCATTTATGTCAAACACTAGATATTACCAAGGGTGTTGGAAGGTCCCACTCTGTAAATTGTCTAAGGCTTACTTAATCCGTAGTCTCTCTCATCTGGATCGCTTTCATGCTTCCGCCATCTGCAGCAGAGGTGTTGGAATATCATAGTCATATGGCTGAAAATTATCAGAGGTGGTGGGAGAACAGGTCTTTCGTGAAATGTCATGATTAGCTGGTATCTTTGAAACTTCCATACTTGGTTGGATATGGATTTGACTTCAAAAAATGTATTGCTAGAAGATGAGAAGAGGAAAATAACATCAGATTGAAATGATTTTGGGTACTTTGCTGAAGATGATATGACAGCACCTTACCTAGACACATTTCACTAAAGGTGACAAATGTTTCCTTGTCACAAAAAGAAGAAAAGAATTTAATAAGTTTATGCTTCAGCAAAGCACAGAGGCAATAAGTCATTTCAAAAGTATCTTACTACTGTTTACGACTGCTCTGTACAACCCCTGAGTATCACAACAACCCGATGAGGCAGGAAAGTATTTTTATTCTTGTTTTCCGTATTATTGGGAGTGAAAGATGCCATAACTGAGCTTTGCATTTTTGGCTTCTCTGCCCTGACTCCCATCAGGTGTCTGTCCTTGGAAATGAGACAATGTGAAGAACTTGGCATTTCTCTCATTCCCTGGATACAAGCTACTGCCTCTTTCAACATCCTCTGAAAATGGCTCTCAGCCAAAATCTTCCGCTTAGCAGCCTTCTTAGGTTGTGAATAATGTCCATCCCCCTCAAGTCTGTAGGTTGCAATGTGTCACTCACTTGAAAACAGCAATGAGGAGGTTCACCAGAAGGATGTTTGCAACCAAGAGGTAACAGGCCATGATGGCAGGAACAATCCATGCTCCTGTCTTGCAGGGAGGTAGCTGGATTATTTTGCCATCTTCTCTGGTTTCATTTTGACCACAAGGAGCTAGGAACAAAAATGCAAAACAATGCGAAATGGGAATGATTCTTATTTTTTCAGTGCTTTTTACAGAAATATTTAAATATTTATAAAGGCCTGCCTGCCAAAGCAATATCTTCCAAATAACAGTGGCATTGATGCTCCTCCCAAGAAGTCTGCACTTGCTATTGCAGATTTTACAAGCTGTGGTTCTTGTTATTGTGTGATATTTGCCGTGAATATCAAGGTATTGCCCTCAGAAATTGCAAGAGGCATGTCTGGTTCCATATAGCTAAAATATCATAATACTGTGGTAGTAATTAGAGGCTGTGCAGATAAAATGGTCAAAATGTTTAATCCTGGAAAAAGCTTTCGTGTTTTTTTTTTTAAATGATGAAAGTTTGGTCTGTTTTGATTGACAGAGAGGGATGTGATAAATAGCCTAAGGAAAAAGAAGTACATGAAAGTAAATTAAGAAGTAGACATTTATTGCTGTGAACTGCCTGCCCTGAGCCCCTGTGGGACATATTTCTAGTGATCCTCTGCTATTAAGAACTTTTGACTGCATGCCTGGAAACAGTAGGGGAGATTATCAAGTCTTTATGGTACCAGGTAAAGGGACATGTAGGCAGCAGAGTTGCCACCTGTTTGTTCCCCAAATGTTTTGGAACAAAAATGTTCTCGGTATTAATGTTGTAGAACTGAAGCAGGGGGAGAGAAAACATTGTGAAACAGTTTTCCATGCTTACTTTTCAACATGCCTTCACACACTGTGGTAGGCAATCTGCATTTGCAAGTGTGTGTTCAGTTTATGTCTTTCTAGCTTCAGACCTAGCAGTCCTAAGTATCTCTCTAATCAGTTCTTCAGGAAAATAACTGAAGAAGTGGCTTACATATACAGACCATCTTGATAAACTTTGTGCAGCCCTACAGCTAGCTTCCACCTGTCCCCATCAAAAAGGAGTTTAAATGAGGAAATTTCAAAGCCCTCAGCATTGGCTCAGTTCCTGCTGGTATCAGTGAGACTTTCCCATTGACTTCATAGACAACAAAGTTTGTCAATGCTGTTACGTTTTGTAAAATCCCACCCTGTGTCAACATATCCATGATTTCCAATACCAGCTACGACTTCCTCTCAAAAAGGTCCTTCTGACCTCGGTTCACAGAGCATGGGATTCAACTGCGAGTGTCTGTACTGGCAATTATGTGCTGTTATGTGTGATTTGAGTACTCGGTTTTGGGCACTACGTATAGCTGTTGGGCTATTACATACAGAAATAGTATAGCCATATGGGACAGAAGAATACATGATAAATCCACTTCAAACATGAACTCTCCCAAAGTATTCAGCTCATGGAAAAGCAATCGCACAGCCAGATACAAGCCATACTACTTTCCCAAGCAGCTCTGTTGTGTCTGTACCTAAGTGCCACTAGTCCTTCCTCCTTACAAAAGTACATTTTGTTACTGGAACAGGCTAAGAGTACACAATCCTTTACTTCTCAGAAAGCATCACCTTGCAGATTGTTTAAGTTAGTGCTGATTTCATGCTTCCCACACTGCTCCAAGCAGCGGTTTCATTTAGACATTCCAAATGCCATCTGTGAGCTGCTGTGAGAGCGGAGCTATGTGCACTCAGCCTTCACCTGGCAGAAACTGGGACATTCAATACCTCTTGGTATCAGCACTCAATGAGGGACTTACATTTCTGATTGTGTGGAAACACTAACTTGCTTAAATGTTGATTCAGAGCTACAAAGTCCAACACAACACAGTACTGAAACCCATCATGATTTCACCAGTAATGGAACAATCACTCTATCAGTTGATGAAACCTGTTGTCCTTTTGTGCGCTCAAGAACAGAACAAATAATGTCTTTTGTCACAATGAGAGGAATTTGAGAAAAGCATATTTTAAACCTTAGCTCAATTAGATCAATAACTCAGCTCAAAACCTGGTTACAATTCTATTATCCCATTTTTTCTATGAAAACTAGAGAATTTAATCTTGAAAAAAAACAGTTTTGACAACTACCAAGACAAAAAATATTTCTCCAACTTTATTTGCCTATCGCAGAGAATTTAGAATACCATTAATGTATGCCTATCAGTTCATGCCACACAGTGGCGGCCAAATTAGACTTCCTACAAAGACAAGTTTCCATAGTCTGTTCTATACATGCACAGATGTTTGGCTTGTCCTGAAAGTTTGCAAAAGTTTTTCTCTTTTGCATGTTCTGTTCTGGGAACAATTTTTAAATAACAACGGAGTACTAATCTCACAGTTTATTTTATGGAGAAGCAAGCTACCACTTAATCTTCACATCTTCAGCTGCATGAGAAAATGTGTGATGTGCGTCCAAAGTGCAGAAGCCTGTGTTCCACTGCATGTCACTGAAATTAACATCTTATTCCATCTTTAAACTACATCATTAATTTAAAGAGATTTTTTTTTCACTATTAAATAAACTGTTTGTTTAAAATAATTACTCCCAGGGTGCGAGAAGACTTTGTTACAGCAACCCAGGACAGTTCGCCTCCCAGTCCCAGTATGCAGAGGCCCAAGCACATCCTGTCTCCTGCAGGGCTCAGCTGCCCGGGGTCCCCGTTTGATCGGTGTCGGTGTCCCAGGGCTCCCAGCTGGGTAACGTTACGCCTTCCATAACGCCAAAGCTTTCGCTTGCTGAGCGTTGTGCCTCATCCCTGAGAGATCTGCACCTGTCTTTTGCACATAACACTCTGACCATTTTAATCGTGTTTTGAGAAATGCGTTAGTTTTTGTAGTATGTGCAGTAATGTATTCTGATGACAAGCTTTTTCAAAGCATAATTTTAACGGGTATGAAAACATACTCGTAATTTTTCACATTACAGCCTTGCTTTAGCAAAAAATAAAGAATACTTAATTCTAGTGAAATGTTTTGCTGAAGCAAATTCTGTTAGTATAACTATATGCATACTTCAGGTAACTGAAAAACCAGGTAGTCTGATGCTTACAGGCCACTGGATAGAGGTAGGACGTTAATTCCTGAACTTGGGCTTTAGAAAATAATAATTGCCCAGAGTTTTGTTTTCAATTACAGACATTAACTTCACTCAGCTTTCAAATATTGCATCCTGACATCTGTGGATATCCATGTTTTTTGCATCTTTTGTTTCCTTTTCCACAATCTTCTTCCTGGCTCTCATTTACAGTTTCCTGTATGAGCCTTTCCTGCTACATGCCTAGCCCTTCCTCTTTCCTGGCCAGCAAACAGTTGCAAAGCAAACAGCAGTAACCCACGTCTCTGCGGGTTACTCTCTGTTTTGGGCCTAAAGTGGCGGCAGAGCTTGGGAAGAATTTGCTTCCCTGCTGTAACTACTGCCATGACGTGGGCGCTGCTCGTTTTTACTGTGATTTGGGTGGAGAGGCTGGGAAACAACAGTTGCAAATTTCCGCGTCATGACTCTTGTCCCAGCTGCACCCTTCCAGAGTAGTTGTGGGAGGTAACGGGAGAGAGAGAGGAAACTGCATAACTGAACAGCTTTGTTACCAAATAGCTTTGAAAATTTCGCATGCAAAAATGGATAACACTTGTCCAATCTAAGCTGATTTGTTTGAAATTACAAGATTGTGGAATAGGTTTATATGATCACAATTCTAAAGAACAAGGAAACTAATAAGTGCATATTAACTAACAAACAAACCTATCTTTTTTTTTTTTAATTCAGGTCTAGACATTTTAAATGCACTTTCATCACCCTGTTTATGAGCATATAGGCATTTTCCAAATTTGGTCTGCACTGAACCCGAAGGATGTGAAAGCATTTAATAATGTCAAATGTCTAAGCTACCTTACAAGCTTGCCAGGCTGGTAAATTCTGAAAAATGGCTAAGTGCGCCGCCTAGGGCTGTCCACTTCTTCACTGACAGAGAAAATACTGAACTCTGGGAAGTCTGAATCTCACATCATTGCTCTCTTCATCAGCAGAAACGTCCAGGGAATTGAACAGTGTCTCATTACTTCAAAAAAGTTGCTTTAACTACACCATTGTGACCTTACATGTTGATTCTTGCTCTCAGCCAGATTAAAATGACTTTGAAGCATCTCTCCAATCTGCTGGTATTTTAATCATAATTTACATAAATCCTTGTATTTTTCTTGTTCTCTCCAGTGCTTTCTCTCTTCTCCTCCCCCTTACATTAAAAATATCCAACAAAATGGAATGCAAAATATAACCTTAGAGGAGCGCTAGGAAGGGGAATACTGCTGCAACTCAGGCCAGAGAGACTTTTAAAGTGGTGTGTAGGCTGTGCGCAAATTTTATCCTCTGTCTTTGTCTAACAATGCTAAAAATATTGCCTGTGCCGCAGAGCTGAACAGGTATGATTTAGCCTGTTTCATGTAAAGCTGCTCCGTTCATTCTAATTCCAGAATGATCCACACAAATGACAGCCCTTACAGGAAGCTCCTATGGAGACATGAAAAGCATGAAACCTCTAAGATTGTACTGAATTTAGTACAAAATTTTCATTTATACTAAGAAACCTTTAAGAACTTTTTGAAAAAAATAACAGACTGAGAAATTTGAAGACTTTTAAAAATGTCTTTGTAGTAATTATACTTTCCTCTTAAGTTCATTGGATAGTTAAAAATGGTGTATACTTGTCTCTCATCTTCTGAAACAACTGCGGCTACTTGGCATTCCTCCAATGCAAGTAAAAAAGAAGGAGGCCCCATCATTTTCTCTTAAACTATATAAGTTTTTCCAATAAGAGAGCAGGCACAGGGAACAAACACAACTCAGGCTGATCTTCAGATGGTACTTGAAATGCTGTCAGCTGGAAAGAAAATCCAGATGCAAATCTGACATGTGAACACCAGGCAAATCTGAAAAACAGCCCAAACCAAAAAAAGCAAACCCGTGTTGGCTAACAGCACTCTCAGTTGCTTTGCGTTCTGAATACAGGAAAATGTGAGGTCTGCTACTGATTTTCTACAGGTGACTGACATTTCTCAAGTTGCCATTTATGTCATCTATCTATATTTTTTGCCAAGCTAACTCACTCTCCGAATAATCATTTCCTCTTCAGCATATACTTTTGTATCCATAATATTCTGGAGACGCAGATAGCTTGGTCAGATGAAAACAAACTTCTTTGCGTGTGACCACTGTGTTGTGAACTTTTTGGCTAAAATTGCCAGCAATAGTGCCAAAGTAAGTGAAGTGAACCGAGGGAGAGAATTTACAGCATTTGTGGATTTCCTTCTGGACAGACATTCACTAAAGCACCTAAGCACCTGGCGGCTGCCCCATGGATCCCATCAGGTAGCACAAGGCTCAGCTGGATTAGGAAACGCAGCCTAAAAGTGAGTCAGTTGCATATACCATCACTGGTTCTGTGACCCAGATCCCCCTTCCTTCCGCAGCTAACAAGGTTGTGATGTACTGTCAGTCTGAGAGGAACTACGTTGGGACTGGTTTTGCTCTTTTTGTTGAATTTACCTGAAAATTTGAACACATTAACTAAAAGATTAACTCTGCTTCCCTGCCCCTTGCCCCTCCCTTTACAATTGGTTGATAGTCAGAAGTTTGTAAGAATGTAGTATTTATGTACTTTTCAATGTACTTATTTAGGTACGTTTAATAAACGACACCACTGAACAGAGTATTCATACTCCCAGAAGTGAGGATATAATTCTCTCCCCACTTTTGAGTTGAAGATGACATCACATGCCAACAGGACACTAATGCACACTCCAGTTACTGTCTGTATTTAAAAAATTAAATGAGTACAGGGATTATGGGTAAGAAACATAAATGTATATGACATGCATGATTTTAGAGCGAGGCATTTAGCTATTTTTTTAACAGTGCGGTGTGTTGAGATAAAAATCAGAGTAGACCCACTGGATGGACAGGCTGGCAGCTGATGAGATGGATCCAGACATTGTATCTGGTCAGCCTTAATAGCACGTTTCACAAAAATGAAGAAACAGAAAATGAAGAAAAAAGAGAAAGTTAGAAATTTTAGAGTAGCACACTTTTTTTTTTTTGTACATTTCTCAGACACTAGGATAATCTCCAGGAGAATGGCTCAAAAGTATAAGCATTTCCAAGTGCAGTGCTTTTGCTGAATCCCAAACTTGCAAATAAAGTTGCAATATCAAACACTAAAATATAAAGAAAATCACAGAGAAATCTTTTTTGTTTGCTAAAATTATAGTAAAACAGAAAATCTGCTCCAAGCTATAAAGTTCAATTGCAGTTTAGATGTAGCATAACAATTTTACAACATGTTTATCTTATTTGAGAAAGTACAAACACTGTAGTACTCTAACATGAATACAGTGGCTGATTTAGCTTAGAACAACTTGGAAAACATATATAACAAAAACTTCCAAATAGTGAAAAAACATAGGCATACGAGTGAAACCTTTTGGATGCCAATCAGGTCATTTGGATTGTATAACATCACCAACCATTTGCTCATCCTCCCAGTCTCTTCCAGAGGTGACATTTTTGAGACAACTGAGCCTCAGACAGACATGACATATTGCACATATTTCGTGCTGAAAGAGTGGCAGATTCTAATTCCCTGCATCATCTGTCTCTCAGGAAAGAGGAACTAGGTGCTGCTTTTCACTTTGGCATCACCACTTTTGCTGCAACTCCTAGTTTCCTTGACACAGACAGAATAACATGTCTTTACTTACAGCTGGAGTTGAAACTATCAGGAATTTCACTTTCCCTAAGCCTCAGAAGTAATTACGCTGCATCTTGTTGCACAGTTTAAATGTTAGGCATCTGAATAACACACAAGACTATGCCTAAATTCTCATGCAAGGGTATGGAGCCTGCCACCCTCTTTTCATTCTTGAAAAACACGCTTCATTCAAAGACAGTTTAGTTTCTCATGTTTCAGGGTTCTAAACTATAATCAGCACTTGATTAAAAAAAAAATACCAGGAACTTTTTACTCAGCCAATTGCCATGTTTGTTGCACTATGGTAGTTACTTAGTACAACATCAATAAATGGCCACTTGTAGAGGGACAGACAGAATTCTGCGTGTGGAAGGAAGTCATAGTTTAATGGAATAAACCTTTACCACTCTATTATATTTTGGAGCAAGATGAAGTTTTATACCCCCAGCTATTATGCCTTTGGAATTAAATGAATTTTTAAAAAGAAAAGGAAAAAGGATAAAGATGAAGGAATCAGGTAAAAAGCTAAACTCAGTGAGAAGCTCTGTGATTCTAGGTATTTGTTTACTTCCTTGCATGCCATGCTACCTTTGAAAACACAGTGGGGAAGTAAACATAAAAAAGAGGTTTCATCTGTATCCACAGTAATGATTCTATGCTAACTAGGAAAAGGAAATGAACACGGAACTGCTGAAATATCTCCCATGTGATATGTTTATGTCTGGACCTCTGAAACTCCATACGTTGGGGAGATTATTGATGACATAGATACATTTATTACCTTAACCAGCTGAGGAAAAATCGACACATTTTTTCCATTCAAACTTGGTCAATACTGAACGAGCCGAAGACAGATCATGAAAACACTGCCCTTTCCTAGGGTAGTATGTCAGATAAAAAGGAATATCCTAAACAGAGCTTTGATGGATGCCATTTGCCATTGGAAAAGATACTTCTAAGTGCTGCCAAAGCTTACGCATATTTAAGTAGGAATGATGAACATCAGTTGCATGTCAGTGTTTGCTAAAGATACACTGTTTATGATTCTTAGTTTGTTCATCTACCACATCGTTTCTCATGTCCACCCCTCTCCTTTGGCGTAACACACAGGGTGGCACCAGGAGGTTTAATTTAAATGGAAAACTGGTATTTTCCTGATCATCAGCCAAATGAATCCTGAGGAGACAGTATATGAAATACTGGCTTTCATTCTGTTTGCACTGATGTGAGCGTAGTCTTGCCTTCCAATAAATAAATGAAGCAAAATTCTAATAATGGATCTACTGTCCCCAAAGAATTGCATCACATGGTTTAGTGTAAAGGTGGTGGCAGTGAGTAGGTAACAGACAAAAGAAAACAGACAAAAGGATTAGATCCTTATGAAATGCAGGAGCTGAAGGTCTAACCCAGTATTATTAGACTTGATGCTCAGCATGAAGTTAGGTAAAAAGTACTCAGGTCTAAAATCAAACCAATGGATGAGAAAAAGAGAAGTGACTTTTTATGCCCCAGGTGTACCAATGAACTCATGGTGGATACCTGGGAGGGTATCCCTGTCACCCAACTGGTAAAAAGAACCATTTAAAACGTTCTTTATGTGCAAGATAATTTAGTGTTACAGATTTCTGGTTAAATAATTATGAAGTGATGCCAGAAGTATGTTCTGAAACTGACACCCCAATATTAGCTGAAAAAATATTTTTATGACTGTTGTCTGTGATGAAGGAGTTCCTCTATCCTGAGCCATTTATTGAGCACACACACATGATCTAATAGGACATCATCTGATCAAAGTTGGATACCTGACTTTGGAGTATGAGAATCATAAACTTGCTTACGGTCTATCTGGTCTGCAAACACTTCCCCATAGATCATCCAATAAGGCATGTAAAAAATGTTTTTCGCCAGCTTCCACGAAGGCTCCTCATTGGGGAAGAGAATAGCCTGTCTTGCGACGCCAAAGCTCATCAGAACCACCAACATTATGATGACAAAATACATCATGTCTATCATCTGAATGTAATGACAGTAAAAGAGAGAGAAGGGACAAGAATTAGATGAACTTATTTGTCCATATTCCTACTATTATATGCTGTTAAAAAAGCATATTAATCTTAGAAACAGAATTTTAAAAAACAAATTTCGAAAAGCCATTCTCAGTTTTACACACAAAAAACTTCATTTTCAAAAAAGTGAAGCAGTATTATTCCGTCCTTGTTTTTACCCAGTGTTGCTTTTAAGAACAATTTAAATGTTATGAATAGGCTGAAAATGCAAGGTACCATCTGGTCACATCAGTTGCCTGAACAAGAACATAGATTCACTGGAATCAGCAGCCTGGTCTGTGCAAGGGTCACAAGATAATGTATTGTTTATAGGCACCTAGTGGCAACTGTACCAAAACAAAAGGGCTGACATGGATTATTTTATTCACTGGTAGTCATTGTCTTGGAGCAAAGGAAGGAAGCTGCGTCTAACATAAGGAGTAACGGGTGGCAGAACAGCCTGTTACTGCAACATAAGGGACACCATGGTGGTAACCAGTGAGAAGGGAAAGCTGTGATACTGGCTGGACTAGAAATCAGCTTGATGGGGGAGTCTGACAAAGGCCATATTTAAAAAAAAACAAATGCAGATAACACAGACACTCAACTCTATTCTTCTCCATTGTTGAAGGCCTCATTAGCATATGCACAAGTTTAATTAGTGCTTGCAAACAGTGCCTACCCATTAAAAATGTTCCTGGAAAAAGTGGGACAGCGATCCTAGGAGGTGCTGAATAGAGGCTGAGAAGAGGAGCTGTGCTAGAAAAGACCCTCCAGAGGGCAGAGCGATGGGCATCAACCAGGTACAGCAGAGATGCTTTATAAGCCAAAATGAATGTGAAAAAAATGAAAGTACTGTAAGGTCACTGGTAAGATCCCCTTAAAACCTTTAGTTACAGGTTTACTGACAGGTCTTTAATTATAAGGCTTGTTACGACCGAGCTGTTATTCACAGCTTTGGATGTAGCTTTTGTCTCTGGCAAAGCTCAAGCCAAAACTCCTCTAAACCTTGTGAGTTTTAATCCCTTCAGTCTTTTCACTTCCTGGCTCAGCTGCATTCTGCCTTCCCTGTGAGGCAGGTGTGCAACCAACCTGCATCTCAACCAGTGGCCTTACTGCTCCAAGGGGGACCTGCGGCAGCTCAAGGGCAGGGTTGCTCATGGCAAGAGCTGGCGGAAGAGGGGACTCATTTGCAGCAGATGGATCTGGCACTGCTGCGGGGGTTCTTCAGTTTCAGAGCACAGAGAGAGAGATCTGAGGTCTAAGGAACATTGAGAAAATATTTAACAGGGAAAAGAGTGGGGTACAGAGGCACAAACAGAAGAGGATACTCTCATGTTTACTGAGAGAGAGGTTGTAGGAGAAAGACACCTATAGGGCAGGGCTCTGGTGAGAGAGACTCAAGGAGCTGCAAAGAGGGAACTGGAGACAAGTGAAAAAAAGGCAAGGGAAAACAAAAATCTTGAGGTCCATAAAAAATACAGGGAAGAAAGAAAAGAAACCCGGGGACATGAAAGAGGAAATAAAAGGTTTGGCCTCATGTTGCAAGAAATTAATTCTTCAGTGCTATTCTCTACTCAAGCTGCGTATTAGCTTTTCCCCCCTTCAGTTGAGTATCTTTCTAAAACCTTACCAGCTTGTCTGAAAACTGGTGAAATAAATGCACGAGTTTCCACTGGCTCTAATGGGCATTGTGTCAGGCCCTTTGGCCTATAGGGTGAAATTACAATGGCTATTTTAAGAAGGCAATGGCCATTTCAATCATTCTGCAGAACTCATTAGTCATTGATTTAAAAGAAGTGATAAAATGAGGAACTGCAGGTTGCTGCAGTTTTATAAACAAGCTGGCTACGTTTCCCCTTTTTCATTTGCACAGAAGCCAAGAAAATGTTGACATTCCCACACAGTAAGTGAACCGATATACCTCTAACTCTCTTGACATGCCACAGTGATTTCATTTCATTCCCAAATAATAGGGGAGTAAATCTATCACTGTGCAGTGATCAGAAAAGCACATTATAATAAGCATGCTCTGTTACTGCAATCAGTAGATAATAATAAACTTGGTCATGCAGCTTCCTCCTCCGATCTTCACCTTAGCTTTAGCCCATTGCTTTTAAACCGCTCAAGCCCATTCCTGCCCCTTGTTTCATTCTGTTTGTGTATTTGTTCACAGTGCCCAGAGGTAAAACCTATTATGACTGTTTTGCTGCATACAATGTAGAGGCAGGTGAAGAGAAAGTTCCTTAACATTGGAAAGACGGGAAGAATCATCTTTTTCCTCCTAAGTCTAAAACTTACAATAGAAGCTCGGGATAAAAGTTCAGGCATTAAATACGGGCTGTTGAGGAACTCAATAGCTGTGATGGGCTTACTCTGTAGAAACATGTATAACCAACCTGATGTTCTCCATAGTACTGAATAGTGCTTGCAAGACCATGAAATGAAAAAAAGCCCAGAACCCAAGGAGGTAAATGGACATGTGATTTAAACAAAAATACACAAGGGAGACCATTGCAGCCTGAGCAAGCAGGTGCAATTCTCAGGGAAATCTGTGCATCACATAAATGAGCTAGCCATTGCACAGGGGAATAAGTTGGGCAGAGAATAGGTGTGAGAGGCAAATTTGTGTAACTCAAACCAGTTGGGCATTGCATGTGTGGGCAAAGTGGATATGCCAGATTTGCTGAGTGCATGGAAAGTTGGATGAGGTATGGAAATCAAACAACAGGAAGGCACAAAATAAAAGAACTTCCCTCCTTTGACAGTTGCCCACACCTTTAGAGTACTCTGGTAGCTAAATTCAACACAGTCTGAGTGAGTGTGGAGCCGACAGAGGCTGGTGATTTTCCTGCATTTGTTTTCCACAGAAAGTGGAGTGAGGCTTGATTTGTTGTACACATGTGAGGATGACAAAGGAATGGAAATTATATTATTTTGCTGATTTCAGCCATGTCCTTTCTGCGTTGACCCCAGGAGAAAAATAAACCACTGTTTATACTATCTGTATATACACTCTGTTTATTACTGAACCTCTTTTCAGACTGCCTTTGCTAGCACCACAGCTCTGAAACTTCTAGTGCATGGCACCTGTGAAAAATACAGCAGAGTAGGGTGGTAGCTGTTTTTTAGGAGTTTTATAGACTGTGTATTGCATGAGCCCCAGTGACCACCAGATCCCTTGATGGAGGGACATAGTCCAGGCAGGGCACAAAAGAAACAGATGATAATGCAGTATTTTCCCTTTGGTCTTTGGTCCTTTCTCTTGTCCTGCTGTCCTTTTATAGTAACCTCCATGAAGAACTGTTGAGCGTTTCCAGCTCTGTACTCTGGAGCTCTGCAAAATCTCTCCCATCAACATCCTACTGGGTTCCTTGAAGGAAGGTAGAAGCACATTTCAAAATCCTGTTTGCAGGACATAACCATCCAACAATCACTTTCTTTTGTGTTTTCACTCTCTTTTTTTTTTTTTTTTTTCCCCCCACTAAGCCATTCTTTCTTTGTCAAACCCACCCCTGTGAGTTTGGAGTTGAAAGCTGGTAAATTGAAGGGATAAGACAATGGTTCTCCAGTCACTTGTTGGGTAGGTAACCGAACTGGACATGTATTTTACCTTTCAGTTTTAAACCTACTTAGAATCACTGAGCTTGTTGTGACTAATGTAATATCAAGGAGAGATTGTAGTCCATGCACTCACATATGTCCTGTCTTCCTATGATGCTAAAGAAAGAAGGTGGCTGGGTGTTTTCTTTAAGGACTGGGTTTAGGCAAACAAAACAGACAGCCTATTTTTACTTGCTGAAGTTTGTCCACATAGCAATCAGACAGCAGTAATATTTGTATTTAGAAAAGTTAATATTCAGTTTACTTTTTTTTTAGTGAATGCCATCTTCAAGGTTTTTTTATTCTATATTTTTAAAAACAAATCTGAAACCCCAGAACACATGAAACAGCCATGATTTGCACAACAAAGGCTGAATAACTGCATGTAAAACATGAGCATTTATATAGCTACATGTGCAGATCCTCAAATATCAGAGGCATGTGCATGTGCACCTATAAACTTAGTAATTTTCTTTAACTCATAAGAGCAAAATGGTACTTTAATGCAACATTTCTACTGAACGGTAAAAAGAAAAAGCCAAAAAGTCAAAAATTATACATCTGACAGCAAATATCTCTCAATTCCTCCTGTATGCATTTAGTATTACATAAACTATTCACGCTCTTGCCATGCGTGTACATGTAATGTGGCCAGGGGACAGAGGCTGCAGATATGCAAATGAATTTCTCATCTCACAAGGACACACCCAAACAGGAAAGATAGAAAAAGATATAGATATGGAGCAAACTACAGAAAGGTGACAGTCTTAATCATAACCATTATGGTTTCAAATGTACCACGCCTATTACAATGCACATTCTTTGAGAGTCCACCCTCCTTTACAACTAGTTGGGAATTAGCATCCTTTGTATTTTCTGCAAATGAGGCACTAAGATGTAGGATAGATGTCCTTGCTGTTGAAGAGAGATCTCAGAGAAAAACAAGCAGTACATCATCTAACAGAACAGGGAGAGTTAAATCCTCAATTCTGGGGTTTTGATTTAATAAGGTGCTGATTTCTAGCTTACATGAAAACGCTAATGTGTAAAAAAGTACAGATAAATCTGCAGTGATGACATTCGCCAAAGACATTGAGTCAAGAACATGCTGGTAAAACAGGAGAACACCAACTTCTCTTACCATTTTCCCAATCATCATAACATACGGTCCCAAATACTTGTTTACTCCGAAGATGTCCAATAACCGTATATACCAGTAAATGATGTTAACACAGTATATCACTCGGCCATCACTCCGGAGTGGCAGATCTTGCAGACGGAGGATCATCCCGACGGAGAACAGGAGGATAGCTATGAGATCAGTAACATTCCAGTACTCCTGAAGCCAAACTTTTACTTTCTGTAACAGTTTCCCGGGCTCTGACATCAATATCTGAAGGACAGAGGACATGGAGAGGAAAGGAGCTGAGCTGTCTTGATTTAAGCTTGAAGAAATCTATAGTAAACAGGTATATGCCACACAGGCCAAAAGTAAAGGTGATAGACTCCTATCATATAAATATCTCATGTACTGTCTGTTTTTTTTTTTCAGAAATCTTACATTTAAACCATTCTTAAGCTGTATCTATGTGCAAGATACTTAAAAGAAGAAGGACAAAAACCTCACTTGCTCTAAAATCCCCATGAAATCAGAAGAAATATATGTATATCTATCTGTTTTTCAAATTTATTGACCCTACTTAGAGTCTTGAACTAGAGGGAGAAATACAGAAAGATGTTTCATCAGAAAATTCACATTTAAAGAAAATTATTCTAAAATGTGTATCAAACTGTCAAGAAATATATCATAACCATAAAGATCTGGATTTAGCTTTTAATCCAGAGAGATACTAGCTACTACTTGGACCTGGTTTTGGAAATTAAGTTGCACAGCTGAGAATATAATTCACAAGAATAATTAATCTTACCTTACGAATTTATCATCATTCTATTTGCAAGACCATTTAGGAGGCTTGATTGTTTTCCCAAATTACTGCTGAAACTATTCCTCAAGTGATTTCTATGAATAATTCCTAGCTTTTAGTGAGTTAACAAGCTGTTTGTTTTAATTTTCTATATTTAGCCTGAGAACATTTTAGGCAGACTCACACAGTTCCTTAAAAAGATGAATGCCATTCTTATAATTTTCTTATAATTCATTTTCAGAATGAATTTTAGACTCATCTTCTGTGAACAATCTCCAACATCTGCTTAGAAATCCATTCCAACAAACGTTCTTGATAAACTTTTGTGGAAAGGACAATTTGGGGAGAATGATTAGACAAAAATGGCACACACGATTCCTGCCAGCAGCCTCCCACCTACTGAGCCAGTGGTGCTTTTCTCCATCAGTGTTGCAGAGTCCTCGTGTGGCTGCTGTCACTGTTTTCCTTTTTCTTTTGGTTAGCGAAGTACACTCATTTTAGGCCACACAATCAGTGCCTTTTCCTCTGTTATTTTTAGCTATAATGTAGAGTTTACCGTACAGTGTTTGAAATCTGTCTCTGAGGTCTAAGTGGCTGTTGCAAGACCGTTTTCAGTCTGGTCCGCAAAAGCATTTGCTGCAGGAAATACAAATGTAGATGGTAACACATTCAGCCCAGGGGTACAAACGTGCTGTTTCAGCTGAGGTCAATGGGACTTGCACCCGCTCACATCAGGGCTGAATTTGGCCTCTGGTGTCATTGCGGAATAAATGCGCATTTGGCCAAGTGAAAAGGGCACAGCGGTAGCTGCAAGTGGGAGAGACCGTGAGGGGCAGGGGATGGCAGAAGGACTTCGCTCTGCCTGTAGACTGAGTGCCACCCGAAGTGCTCTGTCTCTGTTTTAGCATCTTTAGGGAGATGCATGCTGTTGCTTAACACAATTAGCAAAAATTTTCAAGGTTAAAAGGGAGAAATTCTATTAGAAATGAGCTGCAATGGTCAATGTGGATCTAAATTTTCCCCCAGTTATGACTGGTTTTACTTAAAGCCTTTGCATGAGACACTTGGGCAGACAGAGAGTTGTAAATTTTTAATGAACTCTATTTGGGATGGGCTTTTTGGTTGTCATACTATCACCATGTCTCTTGTGTCCATTCTCTCAGCACGTTTTCCTCTCCCTGAAACTTACTTCAGTTTCTGGGCCACATTTCAAGGAATATAGCCAAGCTTTAAGATATGTCAGAAGACTGCCCCATACTTTTGAATGCAATTAAACGTGCATCACACAGAAAACTGAACAGAGAAATTCTGTGGGAGAAATGGAAAGAAAGAGAGACATTCTTGATTTTAAAATGGAGGAAGATGGATTTTTTTAGTGCTGTGTTTTTAGCAAGCTGTCTGCTTTTCTGAAACAAAATGCAATTTTGTGATAAGCCCATTCATTGAAAGTTATCCTGTGAAAAATAATAAAAGCAGATATTAAAATGAAAAAACCCACACTTAAATTTCTTTTTTATTCTGTGTCTCTTGGTTGAGGTGATTTTACCTCTCTCATCTTCTCTATTCCCAGAGTGAAAATGTATGAGATGACAATCCATTCCTGTGTAGATGGCCAGCGATCCATCTTCACTAACACTATATAATTGAACAGCATCAAGTAGCCTATATATGCCAGCTGTAAAGAAACAAAATGAATATCAATAGTCACTATATTTATATGACTGAGTCAGTTTCTTGGTTATGATTTAATATTCTTAATTCCCCTGTAACCAGAGTTAAACAAACAAAAGAACAATCAGACAGTGTTCTTGGTTGTCCAAAAAAGCTCATATTAAATCACATACAGTGTGGAATATGCAAAATACATGCACAAACATCCTCTACTCCAGCTACATCTGCCTCCTCAACAAAATTGTATTAATGTAGTCTCCCTGGATCACCCCACAGTGATGGAACTCTGATACCACTATGCCAGCTACCAAACTAAGTTACCTATGTGAAGATTTCTCCCTCATCTGCTTTGAACACCCTTTAGTCCTCTAACACTCTTCCTCTGTGTTTTTTTTCTCCCTGTTCACCTAGCCTAGGCTGACTCTGGCATTCCAAATCCTTTTTGCACAATTCTTACCTGGAGCCCATAAGGTCCTAGGTGTTGCTAGAGGTCTTTCTACCCAGTGCAGTACTGACCTAATGTATACCATGATTCCTCCCCAAAATACTGCTACTCCTACTCAGTTGCTGCAGCAAGTAGCCAGGCATAGCCATGCATTCATTTGCCCTATATTTTTTTCAAGTTTTTACATATAACTGTTTTGCTTTTCCTTCTTTAATAGATCTACATTCTGGCCTAATTTTTGTTACAGTGGAAAGTGTGGATTATGGTTTTAGTTTCTTTTTCCTTTCTTTCTACATGCTGAATGTAATGAAATGGTCAGTCAAAAAAAAAAAAACAAAACAGGGAAATTGCATCATCAAGTTCATAAAACTCAGAGAAATCCAAGTGTCACACTGGAGCATGGGCTGGTGAATGAGTGAATGTCTGGGATAGGGTGGCCAGAAGCCAACTGCCTGTCTACTTTGCCTTTCAAACAGCAGCCCTACAAGAAAATACATCTTAAGCCAAATTTAAATCAGTGAAAAGATGATGCAGTTCTGTGCATGAACATTTTAGTCATTGTGGCAGAAAGCTTATTTCATACATCTGTATTTCAATAAAGTTTTTCTCTCTCAACTGCATGTTACTCACAACTATTGTGTACTTGGTGTCAGACTTCAGATGAAACAACTGCAGAGGGGCTTGAGATTTTTGGGTAGGATTATTTCAGCGTTCTGCACCTCACAGAACAGGATTTATAGTCCTGTTGCATTTGTCAGAGATCATCACTTCTGCTCCATATAAAAGCCACAGGGTTCTGGATTTTCTTCTAGTTGCTGGTTTGGAGGACACTCAAGAGAATTCTTTACTTTGGCCATAACAGGTAAGACAGCCAGTTGAACCACTGTTTCTTGTCTACATATAACAGAGGAGGAAGTGATCTCATTTGTCTTTCGGATTGTATGTGATGATGGATTGCAATGCTCGGGTCTAGAAATTGGTCTTCCCTTAACACTCTAAAGGAAATGGAGAGCAATATTGACTTAGATCAGCATTGAGGGTGTCAGCTGACTCGGCAGAAACTGTCTGGGCAGGCAGAACTGGATGCACACCTCCCTCCTGAAATAACACCTTCCACTATAGTGCAAAAAGCCAAGTGATACTATCACCTAACACCCCTCCTCTTAGATCTTATTGATTATAAATTATCAGCAAATCTTATTAATTTGGTTTGAGTCAGCAGCCTTTGGTGACCATTTGCAGTTAGTATGGCACAAGAACAGAGACATTAAGGTTACAAAGGTGACAGAAACCGCAAGACTCCCAGCATAACTAGGAGGTTTTTCTTCTTGATTTTCTTTTGAGGTGTTAGGGTTTTTTAGGTTTGGGTGTTTTGTGGTTTTTTTTTTTTTTCAATCCAAGTTTACCGAAAATTGCTGAAAATTTCTTCTTGGGAAAGAAAAAAGACAAGAATAAGTGTGTCTTGATTTAAGAATAAAATGATGCTGAAACTGCACCACATTAACCCAAGAAACAAGCCCTTCAGATAGTGAAGTGACACCCTCCTTTTCTCTTTCCAGACCTGTTAACTTGCTCCTGCCTTCCAGGAGGATGTACTGATCCCACACTGTGGTCAAACCTCAGTACAGTTGCCCATGCTGGTACTCAAGATTCTTTGAAACTGTTGTACTACACAAGTAAATGAACCCTCTTTTTCTTGCTTTTACGTGGCTTGACAAAGAGGTAGGGGCTGCCATTTTCACCCTTGAGGGCAGTACCTGAAGAAACTAGGAGAGGAAAGCCTGCTAAGAAGTTTCTAGAGTGGGTTGCTCCCTCCTATGGATGTTGTCCCATTCTATAGAAAATACTTGAATACTCATTATGGTAAGCAACAAACCCGGAAATTGTACCAGCAGGAGAGTGCTTTAAGCGTGAGACGACCCTCCCCTTTTCTCACCAATTGCAGTAATTAAATGATCCTAAAGTGAGGTGGTCCCAAAATGTAAAGCTAAGGGCAAAGCTGTTTTGATGTTTAGAAGATGACTCTTACTCGGGGTTCAATTCCCTCTGCAGCTATTCCTCCTCAGAAGAGGTGAAAATGTGGCCTCTTACATCCTGCTAGCATCTCAGCCTAAAGCCAGTAGGTTAAAACAGAAGGCCATCCTCTTCTCCTTAAGCAATCTGTGGGATGAAAGGTTTGAGTCATGGTTTTCAATGAAACAGCCACAAACCAGAACAGAGTAGCTGACTTTGGAAACTACTGCATGCCCACAGAGAAAAGCTAAAGGTTTTTTTTTTTTGTTGAGAAAAAGCTGTTTACTTTGTCTCAGACATCCCCACATTTAACCCACTCTTGTCTATTTTAAGAATGAAGGTGGATATAGCTATAGAGTAACAGAAGATAGGCAGATATAGAACAATCAAATTATTTTAAATGGCATAAAATAGCCATATATATAGTCACTTTTCTTGCATTTTGGTCTGTGGAATGTAAAATTAGGAGGATTTCTTTTGAAATCTATGATTAGTATTTCTGCCTGTGTGCTTGTAAAAAGTGTGATAGGCTGTGCAATTTTAACCCTTATGGGAAAGTTGTTTTGCTTTTAGTCTCCAGGAGTTTCTCAATATACCAAACTGGTCAAGTACTGCAGCCAGAATCCACCTTAATTTGCTCTCCGAATTCAGTGTAGCCAAGATCCAGCTTTAATAATCGACCTTGACTGAGACCTGCCTCAGGACATAAAACTGTAGGAACAGGTCTAAATGGAAATGCAATATTGATCTTTTTCTCCCATTTCAGAATTGAACTAACGGGGAGAGCCAGGATGCTTCTTTCTGTTTACAGTGCAAAGACTTCTCTGGTTATGCATAATACATATTGCAGTTGATAATGAGACTGGGCTGTTGATGAGCATTTCTAGACTCATCAGCCTGATTAATGTTCAATGGTCACACAGTTCAGCGAGTAGTTACTCCAAGTTGCCAAACTGGAACTATTTGCTAGCATAAGCTGTCCACCACAGTTTAGTCTCTGTTGATCTGAGTTATTCCTGCTGTCTGTAGACATATTGCCTGGATCTCAGCAAGGCAATTCTTCTTACAAGAAGTCATCTAAAGAAGGCTGCATTCTTTGTGATTTGCTGTGCATTCAGCAGAATGATGGAAAACATAACTGGGAAGAATCACTTGAAATCATCTGGCCAATTTTATGGTGCTGAGGCAGGATTAATGACAGTGTACCACAGTGGACATATGTTTTGATGAGATAGAGTTAGAAATCACTAATAATGGAAAATTTACCATCTCCTTACACAGTTTATGACAGTACTTCTCAGAGAAGTTAGAAACTGTTTTCTAACATCTTACCTAGAATTGCCTTTTACTTCTTGTCTTATTCAGCAAGGATTTGGAGATTATTCCATTTTGTTCTTCTCTGCAGCTACTTACACATATTTGAAGAGTATTACATTCCCACTGAAGACTTCTTTTTTTCCAGAGAAAACAACCCCACTTCCTTAAATCTTTCCATTTAAGTCATGTTTTACAGACCTCTTGAAACTTTTTTCTTGTTCTTTTCTGTGTTCATCAAACCAGTCCATACTTGTCACATGATGAAGAAGCTGAACTAGGATAGAATATTCCAGCCAAGGAGACTCAAACAACTACTTTCTGTGTTCATTTTACTTTTTGAGCTCATCCTTCTACTTTCTAGTGCAATTTGCAAATTTAATAACTAATCTCTACCTCATCACCCAAGTTTAGAGTGAAAATATCAGATAGCACCTCATGTAGGAAAGACCCTAATGGAATACTTCCCAATGCCTGCTTCCAGCTTGATAAAGAATAATTAATATCTGCTCCTGAGGACTAATTGCCAAAGAGCTTTTTATCCACATACTAACTTTAATATAGGAATTATTAATTTATCTGTGAGAACACCCTGTAAAGTTTTCTATACTGTCTTAAGTCAAAATATATGACATAATTTTTTTACTGCTCCATCTGCAAAGTCTGTTTCTTTATAACACAGGGAGATTATACTGATTTGACATAATTTGTCCCTGAAAAATGTATATTAGCTGCTACTCATATCTTTGTTATCTTGTGGGTACTTACACAAACACTTTCTCTAAGAGATGCTTTGCAGACTAGTTGAAACAGAACAAAGAAAAAATGTTCCAAGAAAAGATGTGCTCTATCTGCTTATTTTTTTCATCAATTATTATACAATTCTATATCCTGATTCAGCCCAGCCTCCCATTGGGCTTACTGTTGTGAGCTCTCCTATTGGGAATCCTCCTATAGGGAATTGCTTGGAAGCACTGACTGCAGCAAACTGCCACTTCTTGTTGTATTTGAAGAAAAACATAGAGAGACATTCAAATTTTAACTATTAACTTCCTGAATTAAATGGTAGTCTTTAAAAGTCTTAGATGGGTTTGCAAGTGCTAGCTGACCTACACAAAAGATTTTTATTAAACTATTTACGGGTAAGCCCTCCAATGCAGGCAGACACAGACCTTCAGTGAAAGACTTAATCCAATTTCAGTATTTGTCCAAACAGTAGTAATATAACAGGAAAGATTTCTTACCGTGTAAAACCAAAATTTAACGATGGGAGCATTATAGAACTCATAAATCTTTCTTCCAACAGGGATCAGTCTGTGCCTGCTCTGAACTTCCTCTTCCTCTTTCTTTCTTGATGACTCTCCATTCCCTCGTCCCAGCATTGCCTACAAGAAAGGACATTTTTGTATTTTTTTCTTTGTGAAAGAAAAACTAATCTGTTTTGTGAAATTTCAAAAAGAAATGCTTCAAAACTTCTCGGATTTCTTGATCTTTAAACAAAACCAGGTGACCATAGCTAGATGTAAAATGCTTTTTTCTCAGACTTTTCTTTTCAGGTAAGCTGATGTTTAATACTTTGTAAACTGAAAAAGCAATGCTTTGGCAGCAACTGTCAGCACCAGTGTGAAACCCTTGACTGGTGAACAAAAAAAGAGATGTGGAGAACATTTCTCTTTCTTGCTGTATGGACAGCAAAATTTTTACCTGACAACAGCTTTTTGTGGTGTACTTCTATACAATAAAGAGATGCACACAGAAAACAGATGAGTTTTGTATTTAAACAAAGAGAAGTTCATAAGGCTGAGACTGAGAGAGAACAACAGGGGGAAAAGATGAGTTGGCAGTTGCTGGACTGGAAGCAATGAAGCCAGTGACTCTTTTTACATTGATGACCAGATCTGTCACAGGCGATGATCCCACAGTGAACTTCACACGGATGTAGAGGACTGACCAGTAGAGTTCACTGCAGCATTAAGGCCTTGGACTGAAAGATCCTTCTACACGATTGTAGCTTCTTCCATATGAAGTTCCAGGCTGCTCATGCACTGCCTCCATTAGGCTTGATCTCACTGTTACCATTGCAATTCAGACTCACTGAAGAGCTACACTGAGCTCCAGAAACACACGCTTAAGATGTCCTCAGCTATAAGTGCAAACCTATCAGGCAAAAGAAGGTAACATTTTGTTTACTCTTATCTTCATAGTCAGTTGCAGAGTGGTGGAAGGAGTGACTAAACAATATACTCACTGAAGTTAATTCTTAAAAGCAGGTGTTCCTTTGTATTTCGAGTACAGTGTGATCTATTAAATGTTCTTTCTGAAACAATTCTTTTGGGAATAGTAGAGTAAGAGTGGATTTTGGGTCACTGCGCTCTGAGCGAGTTCTTACTATTTAGTTCGTGGCAGCACCTGTAGACTGTAGCCGTCTTGCAGACAGACGCAATTGCAAGAATTGAAATAGAACAGTCTTATCTAAGTATGCAGGGATTGCACGATGCTGCTTTTATTTAAATGCTTCTATAATGTTTTTCTACAAGTAAATCAAAGCACTTTCATACTTTTATGTTAACTGAGGCAAACTTTCACCATCCATGAAGATAACATTGTTGTTGTCTGCAACTTAAAAGCACGGAAAACTAGGAACCTAAAAAGAACAATTAGATGCCAGACACACTGTCTTTCAATAAAGAAGTCCTTCTTTTATCTACAATACTTAACTAGTCAGCTTCAGGTGAGCTATTTGATCTGGTCCTAGTGCCCTGCAGGAACAGGAGATGCACTTCTCACATTATTTAAAAGTGAGAATCACAGTCCTTCCCTTTCTACCTTTTTCTAGGCCTCATGTAGAGCTACTCATATAGGTCTTTGGTCCTGTAAAATAGTAATCTGTGATGATAAACTGATGACCACATTTTTTTTCTTTCAGTCAGTGTAGATATTTGTAACATTATTAGGACCATGTATGGTCCTAGATGGCTCCTGCTTACTATTTCTCTTTCATTTCATTTATGCAATTTGCTTTTCCCTCTGGTATTACTACTTTCCACATGGTCCCTTATATTCTAGAATTCGACTATGCACAAACGTTGCTCTGCCCATCCTCTTAAAACGGTAGCCTACTTTGATGAAGTTACCCATTTCCTTTACCTTTTCATGCCTGTAGGTTTCAAAGTTTCTTGCTGTAAATATAGGTAAAACAATGCATATTAAAAAATTAAATATACCTACTGTTGATTCTCACAGAGCACAAAGAACCCCCTAAAAGTCCATCAAGAGTTTCATAGTTTCATAGAATCATAGAATCAAGAATGATAGACTGGTTTCAATTGGAAGGAACCTTAAAGAACATCTAGTTCCAACAGCCCTGCCATGAGCTTCCACTAGATCAGGTTGCCCAAAGCCTCATCCAACCTGGCCTTTAACACTTCCGAGGATGGGCCATCCACAACTTCTCTGGGCAACCTGTTCCAGTACCTCACCACCCTCAGAGTGAAAAATTTCTTCCTTATATCTAATCTAAATCTACCCTCTCTCAGTTTAAAGCTATTACCCCTTGACTTATCACTGCATGCCCTTGCAAAAAATCCCTCTCCAGCTTTCCTGTAGGCCCCCTTTAGGTACTGGAAGGCTGCTATAAGTTCACCCCGGAGCCTTGTCTTCTCCAGGCTGAACAGCCCCAACTCTCTCAGTGCTCCAGCCCTTGGATCATCTTCGTGGCCTCCTCTGGACTTGTTCCAGCAGCTCCATGTTGTTCTTATGCTGGAGTCCCCAGAGCTGAATGCAGTATTCCAGGTGGGGTCACACGAGAGCAGAGTAGAGGGGCAGAATCACCTCCCTCGACCTGCTGGCCACACTTCTTTGAATGCAGCCCAGGATAGGGTTGGCTTTCTGGGCTGCCAGCGCACATTGCCGGCTCATGTTGAGCTTCTCATCCACCAGCACTCCCAAGTCCTTTTCCTCAGGGCTGCTCTCAATACATTCTCTGCCCAGCCTGTACTTGTGCTTGGGATTGCCCCGACCCATGCAGGACCCTGCACTTGGCCTTGTTGAACTTCATTAGGTTCCCACCTCTCCAGCCTGTCAAGGTCCCTCTGGATGGCATCCCTTCCCTTCAGTGTGTCCACAACACCACACAGCTTGGTGTCGTCAGCAAACTTGCTGAGGGTGCACTCGATCCCACTATCCATGTCACCGACAAAGATGTTAAATAGCACTGGCCCCAGTACTGACCCCTGAGGAACACCACTCGTCACTGGCCTCCACTCGGACATCGAACGGTTGACTACAACTCTTTGAGTGTGGCCATCCAGCCAATTCCTTATCCACCGAGTGGTCCATCCGTCAAATCCATGTTTCTCCAATTTAGAAGCAAGGGTGTCATGTAGGACAGTATCAAATGTTTTGCACAGGTCCAGGTAGACGACATCAGTTGCTCTTCCCCTATCCACCAATGATGTAACCCCGTTGTAAAAGGCCACCAAATTAGTCAAGTATGATTTGCCCTTAGTGAAGTCATGTTGGGTGTCATCAACCACCTCTTTTTTTTTCCCATGTGCCTTAGCATAGTTTCCAGGAGGATCTGCTCCATGATCTTGCCAGGCACAGAGGTGGGACTGACTGGCCTGCAGTTTCCCAGGTCTTTCTTGTTTCCCCTTTTAGAATAAAGGTTATGTTTCCCCTTTTTCAATCAGTGGAAACTTCACTGGACTGCCATGACTTCTCAAATATGATTGATAGTGGCTTAGCAACTTTTTTCGTAAAAAAGTAAAAAAGATCAAGTGGCTGTTAAACAGAGGAGAAGGGTTCTTATTAGATAAGCACATAACCTCCAAGAACATGACACTTACAGAAAATAACTATTACAGCAGAGATTACACAAACTTCACAGAACCCCAGGTACCGTTACCTGAAGTCTACAAAACCAAAGTGATTCCCTGATCTATATCAAGGATTGTTTATTTGGGGAAAAAAATTGGAATACGATCTGAATGCTTTGGGGAAATTATAGCCTAAGAAGGTACTAATTTCTTTGCTTCTCTCTACCTCCTGATGCTGTTTGAGGGAAAACTGCCATCTGGTGCTACAAAGTTTTCTGTGCCTTTTCCCAAGGCTTTGTCTCTGCTGTCCTCTGGTGCCCAAGAATTTTGCAGCAGAGAGAAAATGAATGCTGGCCACTGTAACAAATGGCAAGTGCCGTGCTTTAGTGAAAGGGATTATTTTACAGAGTTTAAATTCTTCACAATTTTACAAATTTTCTAATTCTGAGACACTCTTAGCTCTCACTGGAATCAGTGAGTTGTGGATGTTTTTAGGATAATGATCTTTCATATCTGGATTTATGCTTTAGCTCATGGATTCCTGATTTCCTGTTTGCTATTGTTTTCTTATTGATAAAGACGCTGTAATTTTATCTTGTTATAATTATTTTTGAATCAGTTGTATCATATAATACTAACCTCTCCCCTCCCCCATGCTACAGATGGGGAACTGCTCTGCGATGGCTGGGGATTAGATTTGACCTGACTGTTAATTGTATCACAGTATTAACAAATTGAAAAGCCTCCCCATTAGAAACATACAGAAATAGCCTAAGTGACTGTGTTAGCAGAACTGCTGCAATGTCAAACGTGAACAAATGTGTTTTCACTTGGAGGGGGAAGCAATAGGGTGGGAATAACTCAAGACATTGCTCTGTGTGGGCGGCATCTCTTTCTCTAATACACAATTTTGTCCATGATTCACCATGAGTCATGCAAGGTAAGGCCGACAGCAGCTCAACTACATTGTAAAGTACAGTACAACTGCATCATTTTAGCCTGAGGCGATTGATGTGCGCATAGTTTTTACATGGAGATTTTTCTAATCAGGATTCTGTTGTGGGTGGTGGTTTGTTGTTTTTTTTTTTTTTTTTCCAGATTTTGTTCTATGTAATGATAGGGGAATCAAGACGGTTTTGAGTTGTGCATTTTTGCATTAATATATGATAAGATCCCATAACATATTTATCTGTTTTATAATTAAATAACAAGAATTTCTGTCCTGCTAGAAACCCAGCAACCTAGAACCTGCATAGGTTCTTCACATTTTATCCTTCGTGAAATCTACATGCTACATGTAGACTTACTCCTTATTTACACAGAACTGGTGTGGAAACGGTACACAGCTGGGTGGATATACTACACCTCTCTCTCTGCACACCCCATTGTATCCTATGTTATGTACGGAAATGCTGTCTCCTTGGTAGTTGTTCTAGGGTTACCCTTCTCTGCCTTAAAATACCGTCAGAAAAAAAAGCTTAATGCCTTTGAGCTACAGGTGAGTAAAATTGGATTTTGCATGTGCTCAGCAGTCCTTTAAGGTGAATACAGAGTAGCAGGGCTGAAGG